GACAGAATATACTTCAAGTTGTCGACGACTACTTTGTTCATTTGATGTAAGCATATAACTGTAAATTGTTCAAATTGAAAACAGTCCATTTTTGTCCAAAAAAAAATTATATATTGGGTTCTGCAGAATTTTCGCACATAGGGGATGGGGTTGGGGTCTTGTGAATATGAGCAAGAGCAGGGGTCCTCAAATTTTGTTTAATTGGGGCCATTTCACTGTCTCCTAGACACTGTTCGGGGCTGGACTAAGTTTGAACAAAATATGAACGAATGCCTATGCACACTTGACGTATCTTATTTTTAGTGGGGGGGGGGAACGACAATATAACCGCGGTTTATGGTTGCAGAGTACAGATATTCTGTCTTCGCGTGCTTATATAATTCGTCGTATATTGTCAACAGCAGCACCCTTAAGGGAATTTTCATCGGAGCCCGTTCAAAACTAAACTACCCGGGCACTTGAACGGCGGCCAGGCCTGACCGCCCGAGTCAAAGAGTCTCTAGCTGGTCGGATCTGGTCCACGGGGTGTACTTTAAGCGTCTCTTAGATAGTCACCATTGTCACCTACACCGTCAATCAAAATATGGTGGTTCTGTGGTTGGGAAGACGTTCGAGGACAACCTACCGATAAAGGTGTAAGTGTAACAGTTGATTATTGTGGATCGTTCCACGAGAAAGGGGGTCTCGACCCCTCGTTTTGTATCCCTACTCCCAGTAAACGTCTTTATCTCAGGGTGTTCGACAATAACTAGGGGACTCCTGTGGAGGTCATAAACGACTTTGTTGCGAGTTTTTTACGTAAATTTTTCAGTGTTACAAGAGGTGAAGATTTGGACACAACTGTCCGTACCAGGAAAAGTTGGTCCCACTCATTTGATTTGCCGACTGTCGAAGTGTAGACCGGGCGGCATCACTTCACGTTTAAATTGCTTTTATGAAGTGTGTTCATTAATTAAAATGGTGTTTACAAAAAAATAGTAATGGTTTTAAATGAGTGGTTACCAATACAATCAATATTTAACCTCACGGTTTCCGCTGCCACTTTTATTTAACGTGTAACACACAGGGAACTCTTACGATTACAACCCCCCCCCCCCCCCCCCCCCCCCCCCCC